TAAAACCCAACTCTCATGCCATTAGAAAGAGGATCATGAAAAACCTATAAAAAGATGGTTCATGAAATTTTAGTTCACTCATAAAGCTAAAGTCCGCTTGCTCTAGCAAAAAATGCCCACTGTGCATGATGTAATCGGTACGGCAACATTATCATTTTCATATAAAAATATTTGTTTTTGTCTTATAACCAATGTCTCGCAGGATTGATCACACTTGATACACTTGAAACTGGTGGTAATATCAGAACATAATAATTCCAGCAATACGTTTAATTTTGTTCGTGTTTCAATAGCCAGCACAGTCTTATACAATGAATCGAAGTAACCACTATCAAGTGAAACGATATTTTCTTTCTAAAACAATAAGAAAAAAGCGACTTAAAGACGAAAAACTATACGTAGTCTTGCAGCATCTAAATGAGAAAAACCTTAAAATTTGTACCATAGGTTCTTGACAGCAACGAATAATGGCATTTAACATGTTACAGCTGCTTGGACGACGAAGACGTTCTAATACTAGAATTTTGCTGTATGCAAATAATCTTTTTAATGAATCCCCTTCTCCAACCAGTTTCCGCGCAGTTGATATCGCCCATTTCTTGTTGATCTTTGTCGCCGACACTAGTTTTTTTGATTGATGAACTGGTACAACAGAAATAAATGTAGTCAAATCGTATGTTGCCGAAGATAAGATAGGAATATTTGAATTGTGTGTAAACTCGTGCAGGGAGACAACAGACGGTGGGCAGCGATGAACAGGTGGATGTGATGTTGTTGGTTCATTAACATAAATTAGAATGATATTTGGCCAATTTAACACCTTCATTTTTCGCATCATTAACATTTCACAATTTGAACAATACAAATCGGACGTTGTACTGTCAAAGAAACTTTCTAAGTTGTTGACTAACTGTATACTTTCCATATTCGATGTTAACTGGGAGACAATCGATGATAAACAATGTTTTTAATTTTTTTTACAGTTGGGGCATTGATAACATTTGACACCTTGTACAGGATCTGATAAAATCGGTAAAATAATCTCATTCATTAATCTATGTATGTTTACTTCGACATCATTTGTCGTAGGGAAATTTTCGGGCACTGTAAACGTTGGTGTGACGAACGTCTGTGTCCCTCTTGTTCTTGCACGCGACAGTTTAGAATGTTTATGCACGAATTTGAATAATTCATTTAATAATGGATAACCTTTATCAAACTGAGAGGGAAGTGAATGACTACGGAAAGTTGTGATCGATAATAAAAAGATAGAAATTATTTTCAACCATTCTGGAACTTGTGACGAGAACTGAAAGAAAGCAAAACGTTCACTACTATTAATGAAAAGTCATCATACCCTGAGATAAAGTCACTCACTTTTGGAAGAACTAAATCGCAGTTAATCAACGGCGGGGTCAAAAAGGATGACGTTATTTTGTTTAAGACATGCTGTTCGGGCTTCTTTTGGTAATATCCTCTTGATTTGTTAATCTTTTTAGCGCGCCATTGTTCTTGTACCGGTATGAAATGTTCTTGTTGAAGCGACTGATTAGCATTTAAGTTGACGTTAACAATTCCTAGTGTAAACGAATGTACAAATTGTACCAAATCTTGGATGAGGATAGATAAGACGACATCCAGTCTTCCATGTACTTCACCACCTAAACGAAAAAACGACAGATGCTAATGTGTACAAAAATTAATAATTATACCCCACGAAACACTATCATAATACTTGGTACTTACCTAGCTGAGTCCGCTTCAGAATCCCCATTCGTCTCTCTGAGTTAGCTGTTGTACGTTGAATTTCTTTATCGAGCAAGAATCGATTAAAACTTCTCACTTTTGAACAATGTCGTTTAAGATTCCCTAACACAAATGAAGAAATACATATATTGGAACGAGAACAACCAAAGAAAAAATTACCTAATAGCAAATTGGACCATATCGCAACAGTCGGCATAAAATTCTTGTTCAGATATGTCAACCAGTCGCAATTCCCTTTCATTCTCATCGTTGTTTCTTTTTTTATGTTGACAGCATTACCGCGACTCTCAAGACATTGTTCGAAGATTCTATTAAATGTTGTTCTAAACAGTGAATTAAAGGAGTTCAGTTCGGCTTCTTCGTCAATTGTCTAAAGAAGATAAGAATGATATAAACATTGATTTGTTGATTGCTAATATCGCTTACTCTTAAGCCTGACATCGTTTTCAATTTCTTTGTACTTGTAGACATAATTTTTTTTGTTATCGTGTTATCGTCGTCATCAGTGCTACCATCTTCGAACTTATAATTGTCTTTCATCTCGGTTTTGACTGTGAATTGATGTCGAAGACACGTTTGGATGTTCGGATTGGCATCTAAACTTTGTATTCTGTACATCAAAAGGCTGTGATGAATCGGATCGTGCTTGTCCGTATCAAGATTGAGAAAATATTCACAAATTAAACGCCAGTTAGCCACCATATCTGACCAAACACTGGTATTAATAATCACGGCCACAGCCCACATGGCCAGTTCTCGTAAATCCGACGACATGAATTTGTTTGTTATTTTACGAAATGCCAACATTACGTGCGCGAGACAGGCATGTATGTTCGTTTGTTGCAGATCGTTTGTGTGCGGTTGACCGGTTACAATTCGATAGGCTCGATCGAGGAACATTTCATACGACTCACTATTATTGAAAACTTCTAGCGACGCTTGCAAAAATACTTGTGCTCGATCCGACAGAACGAATTCGGGCTTGGGAAATTGTTTGCCTTCGAAAGTCTAGAAAACACCGAAAAATATACATGGTAAAGAGGCAACGAAAATGCGCACATACCTTTTTGTAATGTTCCTTTAGCCAATTCATCCAGTTGACTACCATTTTTAATGTGTGACTCTCAGATATCATAAATGTGATCGGAATGAGGCTGTTTTCTTCTACCACATTCGACTGCGTCATAGTAAGCTCGTAATAAAGAATAGTCTTTCCGTTCTTTGCTTTTACTACACTTCCTGTTGCATCCCATGAAATGATGGAATGTGGAGATGAGACGAGACAGTCGAACAATCTAATGCTGGCTTCTGTATGGACGATGAGATGTAATGGATGGCGACACACGACTTGCAGTGCTCCTGGCACTTTCCCTCCAGGATTGATTTGCGCCATTGTTGACTTGTATAATTCATCTAGCGATTTTCCTTCGTCGGGATCCAATAGAGTATCGACTGTGGCTTCGGCTTTGATTTTTTTGAACGTTTTCCGTGTTGATCCAGTAAAGTCATAATTAAATGCTGACTTTTCCGATGAAGTACGTTTAGCAGAATATTCCCGATGGATAGCACAAACGGACGCCCCAGATTTAAATTTATCTTTCAAGATCTTGCGCAATGGCTCACGAATAGGTCGACATACCCTTTGACGAGCATTGTGTCTGACACTGTTCTGAATAGGAAACACGTAACACTGTCCGCTATTCTGAAGAGTAACCGAACATTTAAATTGGCAATGTGGTCGGCCGGCACATACTAACACAACTCGTAATAATAGACCAGTCGGTGGCATATTTCGACGTCCAAAATACCGGCTATCAACACAAAGGCCACAAAACGGGTTATATTTTTTGAGGTGTGCTAGAAGAATGTACAAATATTCCGTATCAACTCGACTGTTTTTCCTGTTTTT